TTTTTAAGCGCAAAAAAGAGATCACAAGTTCAATTACTGAAAAAAGTGTCAAAAAATGGTAACCAAATCATATAACTGGCTGTATATTGACCAAACAAAGGCTTAATTAAAAAAAATGGCCCCATCATGCCCTGCGTCTTGAGACGGTCTTTTAAACACAAAAAAAATATTAATGCATTGAACGAATCAGGAACGAGAAATTTGGGATGCGCTTTTGAGAAAGCAGAAACTGAGAAAAAACGAAAAACATTTTTTGATTTTTCAAAAAACAGCTGGTTTTTCGAATAGGGGTTGACGGAAATCTTGAAAATTTTTTGAGAAAAATGAAGTAACGAGAAAAACAAATTATCATTTATGAAAGAGCAGATGACGAGTTATCTTCCCATGTATTTATCTCAGCTTTGACCATTCCAACGAAAACTGACATTTTATGAGAGGGGGGGGGGCCTTAAACTCTTCGAGTACTTCAAAATATTCTCTCTTTAAAGGCGATCAAAAAATCTGAAATTCACATATCACATTTTCTATTCAACACTATTTAAACAAAACTATTATCGTTTCTACTCGAGTTTTTGCATTATTCGTATTATACCTAAAGTAACAAACTATTAAATATAATACCTCTATGATTATTCTTTTTTTTCTGCAATATAAAGCATCTAGCTTCAATCCAGATAGTAATCTTAGTAGTCAATTGAGTTTTCTATTTGATGTATTTCTATGCCAAGATTTCTAACAATCTAGACACGGTAATCTTCTTGTCCTAGAAAACTATTGTTTAATAATGTGATTTTAAAGAATATAATATTTTTCAATAAAATAAAGAATCATCACATTTTCTACAATTTTTCTGTAATAAGTTACAAGTATTACAAAACCTATACTCACACTCTTAGGAATTGATAATAGCTATTAAAAATTTTTTTTTTTTTGTTTTTTTAAATTTAGATATGAAGCAATTTGTTGTCCACTTCGAACACGTAGAACTTTTCGTCGTGTACGTCGTATTATAACTCTATGTTGGTTAAGTTCATTAATAACAGCTATACCACAATTATTTATATTCGAGCAAAGTTTAATTTCAGGAAGTTTAACAAAATATCATTGTGCTAGTACAGGTTATACAGCAGAATGGCAACGTCGAGTTTATTTTACAACATTTGCTTGTTATGTTCTTGTTATACCAGCTTTTTGTATGACAATATGTTATATAAAAATTATACGTGTTGTTGCATCATCAACAAATGCTTGGATGCAAAAAGTTCAAGATCAAACAACAACAACGATTCTTCCATCGCCTCCGGCAGCTCTTGCTAAAATAAAAACAGTTCAATTAGCAATGACTATTATCATTGTATTTGTTGTTTGTTGGACACCTTATATGGTTATTACTTTAGTTGTAATTTATTCTAATGGTTTTGTACGTATACCATCATGGCTTGATGGAGTTTTACAAACAATATGTTTAGCACAAAGTAGTCTTAATCCATTTATTTATATTATATTTAATAAGAGACGAAAACATCCACCAACAATTGTTCTTGCTTTAGCACGAACAAGTATGCAAATATCTCGAAGAAGAATTCAACGAAAATAATGATTTAATATATTTTTGTTCTATGTTCGAAATGTTATGAAAAATAAATCAATATTGTTGATCAATTAAAAACAAAATAATTATTAATGATGTTATTTAGATAAATATATTAATACTATTAATTCATTCTTCATTTTCATCATAATGATTTAATCAAATTAAATATTAATATTAAAAAAAAATATCTTTTGCAATAAGAGTTAGTTTAATCAGCATAGAAATTCGACAAAAAAAAAATATATAGTTTTTCCTATTCATATGTCTTGTAACTTTATCTTGAATATGCGTTCATTAACATACATTAAAACAAAAAAAACAAATATTTGCTGTTGTATGTTAATTTCCATAGCGTCATGAATTTCATATGACAGTTTTTATTTAGATATTTTTCATTCTTATATGAATTTTACGTCAGTATGTTGATAGTGTTTAACTATTGTGAAAAATTTGTATATTATCATGTTCTGAACACTTTCGATGTAGAAATCTTTCTTTTTTTTTTATTTGTATCTGGCTCAATTCAGTTATTGATACTTAACATTAATATAAGATATTATATCTTAATTATAGTTTCAACAAACAAATCTGATTAATAAATAGAAGATAGCCAGATGAATGGAAAAGTGTGGTAAGTAGAACTTTTCGGGTCGGGTTTTGCTCCAAGAATGTTGGACTCAATGAGCCCTAGTTATAGGAATATGACAGTTGCTGTTGCATCATTTATTCTATGATAATATCTAAATTATATCTACTTCTACATTCAATATTGAAGAAAAATTGTCGTAAATTTATTCGTGAAATAAGATATCGGGTGTACTAAAATTTTTTTTTATTTCTCATGTATCTACAATTTTTTTTTCGTAAAAGATGCGCCATCGAAAGTTCTACACAAGTTGTATGAACGAAATTCGTATTGCAAGACAAAAAAAGTCTTTCAAACTTCGCTTTTTATTATGTTTAATATGGCGGAAAGTAACACTATCGTGTAGATTTATGATTTTGAGTATGGAAAAGACCATTGGTGCAAATCAATAGGGGATTTGTTATTATTATTTTTCTAGCACTTTTCAAGGTACATCTGTGAGAAAACAAAAAGATTCAAGATTTCATCATTTACCTAGATCATAGATACATAAGAAAATTCAATGAAGCGATTATGATATTATTTTTTTCTTTTTGTTTTTTAATTAAGTTATATTGTTGTCTTGCTTTGTTTTCATGCTTAAGCAAGATCAATATCAGCTAATGAAAGTTTATCCATTTCAGCTAAAAATACATTAAACGATAATTGCTTGGCATTTTGTTCTATAAGTGCGACAAGATCCATAAAATTATCACATTTATGTGTTCGTGTCATGACATCAGATCGATCATCTGAAAAATTTTTACATACAATAATAAGAATTATAAACAAAATATAAATACTTTAACATCTTTGAAAAGAAAAAAAAAGAATTATCCATTAACAATATAATTATAATACACAGTAAGTAAAATAGAAGAATGTAAAAGTCTTGAAATCTCAAAAAACTAGAATTTTTCATGTTTTCATTGAAGTTTATACATACAACTAACATAAGAACAATTTAAGATGATGATAGATACTAATAAAATTATATTTCGATTGAAAAATCGAAGACCATTATCTTCTATTCTATAAATCATTGTTATATTAAACAATCAAAATAAACTTTTTTGCTTAATATTATTGTACTTTGTACCTAAGTATAATGTAATATTTTGCGTTGATTAATAGGTCTTTATGAATGTCTGCTATTTTTCTAGTCTAACGATATCTGTAGTAGCAAAGAAAAATAGAATGTCGTAACGTCTACATTACCCATGTTTTTATTAAGTGCTGATAGGGATTATTAACTTCTCATCAGTCTCACAGAAAGTAATATTACTATCAAGAAGAACAAGCATTTATTTTATGATTTATTATTTTGTTTTTTAAAAGCGCGCATCAAAGTTAACTACTGATTTTTTTTCAAATTAATAAAAATCTTAACTATTTGTGAAAATCGTTTCTATTGTATATTGCTCTATTCGTCGAGATTTGCCTGACATGAAAATTTCAAATTTTGTCTGATTAGCCGTTCCTCCCAGAGTTCTGAAAGAATGATTCTCTTAGGTAAAAAGTATCCAATTAGTGATTCTATTCTCGTATCTTTACCATCAGCAATCTGCAGTTGTGTTCAAAAGATAGAACAAACGAAATGCATTATACTGCTTTAAAATAATGATATAACTTTTCGTAAAATTACAATAAATATCAAACTTAAATTCATAGAAATCTGAATTATTCTATAAGATTCTATTTTTAATATATTGTTCATTTTTTTGAATAAATACCAAAACATGTTTGTTCAGCTCGTAAATGTATTAATAATAGAAAAGCTGCAATAAGTGTTTGAACGTGGCAATAACTAACATCAAGATAATGCACTGCATATGCTTTTAAGTACATCATATGACCTTTGTTGTTGATAAGAACAAACCAATAGAGTATTTTTTTGTATAAATAATAAACAAAACTTATCCACAGCTGTCATATATAAGCGTTTCGTCATTAACAAAAGATCTCGATAAATCTTTTTTTATATCTTTAAAAACAGATAAATTAGTGGCCGAGTCAGAGAGAAAAATGTTTAGGAAGAAGCTCAGCCCTTATTTGTAGCTGAATTAGACATATATGTTTTTCTGTTAGAATATAAGAACGTCATAGAGGGATTGAGTCTCTTCCCATTCAGCCCTTGGCTTCATCACAAGCATAAATCAATCGTTTACATTATAAATTTCTCGATAACGAGCTATTGTTTCTTTAATGTTAAACAAAAAAATCATATAAATTTTTAAATTTTTAAAATAACAATGAAAAAAGAAAAAGAAACAATCTTTTCATTATATTTAATGTCTATTATTATTATTATTATCATTGTCAACTTATTGTCTAAGGTTCACTTAATAATCATACCGAAGTATGTTCATGATGCATTTCCTGTCACTTCATACCCGATGTACTTCTTCCTATTCTGTCATTCATTTGTTTTTCATCATTCATAAGATTATTTTTCCTTGGATAATTCCTTCTTGTTTCTTATTCTATAGATAGATTGTGATTTTGCAATAAAAGATATATATATCATTTGACAATTATCTTCAGAGTTACCCATCCGAAAGATTTTCATCTTTTTACAGTCATCAATTTATTAAAATAAAAAAAATCTTCTTCATCATTGTTACTACTATCAAATAAATTCGTTTATCTTGTTAGATTTACTTGTTCGATGATAATAAATATGTAAACAAACATCTTTATTTTTTCAAAACGGAATTAATTGAAATGATAAATATGAATTATATTTTATAGATTCATTTCAACGATACAAATATCATTCGATTAAAATCTGATTATATTAACTGTCAATATGTTTAAATAAAAAAATTAAAATATTCAAACATGTATAAATTGTTTGTTGTCAATCATGTTGATTATTCTATGAACAGGTAATCGGAAAGTTTTTAGACAATATATTTGTTTACTTTTAACGTATTTTCGGCGAAGCAAAAACTATGAGTTTGAATCCTTTTTTTGAATATAAACTTAGAAATTTTGTTTGAGAATAGTAAAAGAAGATTTCCAAAAAATTAATTTGTACGAAACTTGTGAATCGACATTTCCGATGAACATGTTTGTTCATTTTAATCTGCTTGAAAGTATTTGAGTGTAGATGGCGATCAAAAATTGAAAAGCAGCATAGCAATGTTGAGTTTATTTTTGAAAGAACTCAAAGTTATCGAAATCAATCATTTTATTTTCAATAGCTTCTTACAGCGTACAACAGTTTTTGGTCTGGAAAATTGAGGTGCCTTGTTAAAAGACAAAATATAGTGAATTTCGTTGGGTAGTTTGGAATTGTAATAGGAAAAATACGAAAATCTTTTTGTTCAAACAAATTTTTTGGGTTTGTCAAAGATTATTTCATTAGTCTTGAATAAAACTGAGACAAAATTTCTAAGGCCATATTGAAAAAAGAGCACAAAATTCTAGTTTTCACTCATCAGAAATACTTTTTAGCAAATCAAAAATAAACAAATATGTTGTGTAAAATGAAATTTTTATATGAATTTACTTCCATTAAACCTACCATTGACTCAAAAATCGATCTCGATCCAGAGACATTTAAATAGTCTGAAACTTTCAGGATATATTAGGATTTTAGTGGAAAGGCTATGCTACAATTTTCAACCTTATATAGACTTAATTTCTTTTTTGTTTGAAGAAACATAACAAAGGCCTTTTTTAAAATTTTTCAGCAAAGAAAAGTTCGCTGTTTCGAAAAACTGGAGGTGTAATTGTAAAAGTACTCTTTTATATAATAGTAACAAAGATTAAATGAAAAAATGATGAAAACTTTTGGAAAAAGCGATATGTCAAAAATAAGATCATGTCATCTAAGATAGATCAAGCCTCGAGCTATCCTTTCATTGTATTTATCTCAATTTTCACTAAAATTGATTTTATTTTTAAGCAGAGCAGCATTTAAAACAAATTCAATTAAAACTTTTCAAGTCATTATATATTACATAACTTTCTTTTGTCACATTAAACTAAGAAAGAAATTAATAAAGAAATAATATTATTCCATTTATTTTTCTCATCTTTAATAGTTTCCTAAAGATGGCGTATGAATATTTTCCTTGCTAAAAATCATTTTCTTCTTCAGCAGAGTTCGCTATATGATGAATCATATATATATATAGATGTATATATATATATATATATATGGAAAAATCTAGTGGAGGATGAAAGTTTTCCATGGAATGGTTAGTCGAACAATCGTCATTAACGCATCATATGAATTTATAAATAAACAATCATAATCAATAAAAATCATTCAAAACAAAAGAAATATTTTTTCAAAACAAATATAATTTAATTCATTAGATTTTCTAGATATTGTCTATTAACTTCAAAAAATCAAGATGATTTTCTTGATTTCAAAAAATGACGTTAATGGCAAACAATACAAACAATATCAATCTTAATACAACGACGAATAGTCGACCAAATACCAGTCCATTACCTCATCGAGATCTTCTACATCCTAAAGTAAATAACATTTTTAAATAAATTATATATTTATATCAATTAGAAGATTTCATGTGAAAATTTATTTGATTAGAATATATATAAATTATAATATTTTATTTATATTAAATCAAATATTATAGTTAACAAAAGTCAAATTGATTAATAACAGTTGATAGATTTTTCTCATGAAAATAAAATCATATTTTTTCTTTCATTAAAGATATTTCTCAAAAAAATTTCTTTTTTTTTTTTTTTATTGTAGAAATTAGCATCAAGATTGGGCGGTGTTGGTACAACACAAGATAGTAGTTTTTCATCGGATTCAAATAGTATCTATCGACAAGTAAGTGTGCTGTAAATTGATTGATAGTTGTATATTTTTATTGACATTTAATCGAATAAATCTGTTTCTTTAGGGAGTAAAAAAAAATAATTGATTCTTTTTTGTTTTTAATTAAAAACAATTTTATTATTAAGATTGATTCGTTTTCCAATTATTATACTAGACAATATTAAGAAAGGAGAAGAAAAAAAAAAAAAAATTTTTTTTCTTTGATAAAAGGAGATTGTTTGCTTTGTTAGACTGATGAGACGAGTGGAATTCGATGCGCTATGCATTTTTGCATGCTATTCCCCGTTCTCTATTGCCTCTGTGTATTTGCGAACCAAATCATGATTTTCTGGTATTTCTAGCTTCTTCTTTTTTTTTTCTATTATATGCGTGTACAGACTTAACAAGCGTCCGCGTGCGTGCTTGTTCCCTTCTTCGGTCTCGTTGCTTGACGCACGCTTCCATAGACACCTATTTGCCATAATCAGGAATCTTCTAGGAAAGATAGAAGAACGAGTAAAAAGAAAAAAAATGTCATAGGCATTACTCGCTTCCAGCTATTGTCAGACTTAGGCAGGAGAGTGCCTCCCTTCCTGTTTTCCCCTTCTTCCTCTTTTGTGTCCTGGGTTTTTTTTCATAATCAACTATATGTAGCAGTACGATAAACAATTTTCTTCTTTTTTTTTTTTTTTCTCTTTTCTGTACATATAAACGATAAGACTCTGTTTGTTGCACAGTCGATAGAGAAATAGATGTTAGCGTCTGTTGTTATATTAATTCAAAATTATTATCATTATCTAACACTAACCATTTAATTGATTATTATTTAAGAGTGTGAGAAAAATCTATTAGAATTGTTTTTCTTACGAAATAACTGATAATGAGACATAATCAAAATGCTTATGTCATCGATTCGAAATATCAAACAATATTCAGCTGATAGTGCATATTCGACAACAACGGCTGTAAGTTTTGTTATTTATATTTGTATGGAATAAAAATTAAATTATTACAACTACATAATTTAGTTGATTTATTCTAATTTTAACAAATAATTTGTTCTTTTCAAATAAATCTCAAATTGCTTCTTGATTGATCAAATCTTTAAGATTACAGGAAATAATACCATACAGTCGAATTTCATGTTGTTTCCTTTTAATACTAATGGAGAAAAAATGAGTTCTATTAGAAAGAATATAAAGAATTACTTAAGACGAAAAAGAAAAAAAAGAAATGATCTATGTTTCATTTGAGTTATTCAATATATGAAAACAGTTGGTGCCAAGAACTCTTTTTTTTTTTTCTTTAAAAAGAAAAATCTGATAAGAAAAGAATGTACTATAATGTCGTCAAACCGCCATCTTTTTTTTTTTTTGTTGGCTTTCTCTTTCTTATATGGTTTGATGATCGATATTGACATCATCACCAGGTTGTTGCTTTTGCCCTATCAAGAGACTCATTGACTAGTATAAAAAAAAGAAGAAGAAGCAGTTCTCATCTAATTGAAGATTTCTGTTCTGTTATACCATCTGTTACCGTTGTTCGAGCAAAAAAAAAGGAGAGAGAGTGAGAGAGAAACATTGTTGTTTTGATAAATGTCAGATCGTCGTCGTCGTTCTTCTCCTTCACGCTTTCGCTTAGCCCGACATCGATTTCTGGATGACAACAACCGATATTCCAGTAGTATTAATTCTCTTCATCAAGAATTGTTATTACAAACAGAGAAAATTGTACGTAATATTATAGAAGAAAATAACGGAACAAGAATAATAATCCATTAGTAATGGATCAATGAATAACCAGACTTATCCAATGGATAACAATAAAAATGAAAAATAGATTTGACAAACAGACGCGCTTGGATACTGATTGATGGAAGACCAGATGGATAAAAAGTAAAAGAAGAAAGGATAGAAAAATAATATAAATCTAAGACAAATAGACAACAGAGATATATAATATTAAATGGCAACTCTGAGTTTTCCATTAGTCGTCAATCGAGTAATTCTGGTTTGTATTTCAAATTTAGCCTAATTAGAAAATTTATTTCTTGAAAAAAAAAAAAAAATCAGATATTATCTTTTGATTGTATTATCTACAGATATATCAGATGATATTAAAAAATTTTCAAATTTTTTTATAATTATTGATTAAGAAATAGATTTTATAAGGAACTACATAAAAAACTATATTTTCTTTTTTTCATAAAAAAAATTTATTTATTTAATCTTATATATTGAAAATATAATTTTAATTCTAGAAATATTATTCCTCTATTTTTTGTTGTTGTTATTGTTATCTTCATCTTAGTCTCTCAATAGAAAAGATCATCATATAATATTAAGTTTTGGTTTTTCCTTTTTTTTTTTCTTTTCTAGGGCTCGGCTGAATCAAACTATAGTCAACAATCATCAGAAAGTTTAGATGGTGATACAGTTGAAAGAGAACGAGAACCGACAGTACCAACCACAACAAGTGGTTTATCATCATCAATAAAACCTCGTGATCAAACTCGTTCAGCAACAGATGCACTCGAACGATGTAAAACAAAGCCTGTTGCTTTTGCTGTTCGAACAAATATTGAATATATTCCATCAAGTGATGATCTTTGTCCTATTGCTAAAGCAGCAATTGCTTTTCCAGCAAAAGAATTTCTTCATATAAAAGATGTAAAAATAAATTGAAAAAGAATAAGAATTATTATTGTTATTTTTTTTTTTTATTACATATTTAGAAATTTAATAATGATTGGTGGATCGGTCGATTAGTTAAAGTAGATGCAGCACTTGGTTTTATTCCAAGTCCAGCTAAATTAGAAATGATTCGTATACAATCAAATCGAAAAAATAAAAATCAATCACAATCATTAGCAAATACAACATCACGTATTAAAGCATCGACACAAAGTAAATTTCAATTTGTTGTTAACAAAAAAAAAATTCTTTTATTTTTTTGTCGTTCCAGGTCTTGATGCTATTGATCAGAATATTCCTGGTTTTGGTGATGATACATTAGGCAATGATGGTGATGGTGATAGTCTTACAAAATCAAAATTAAATATTAATGCTAATAAAGATAAAAAGAAAACTTTTTTCAAAAAGGTAAAGAAAAAAAAGATATTCGTAATCTTCATGAAGAAAAAGATATATAACATAGACTATGTCAACATAATAGATAATCTTTTGACATACATTCATTATAGTTAGGCATGTACCAATAGTTTGACTACATAGTCTTGTCTAAAGTATGAAACTCGTTATGTTATTTCTTGATGAGGTTTTCTTCAAATGTTCTTTTGTTTTCATTCAGCTGTATGACAGATGTGTCTTTTTACATTGTCTTTCTTTACAAGAAAAACTGTCTTTGCATAATCTTTTCTAATTAATCAATATTTCTTAAAACTAAAGAGAAAAAAAACAACAACAAATTTTCATGCTAAAGTTCACGATATTTTTATCATTGATCTATAGAAATTATTGTGTATGTAAATAGAATATTGATTTTTATTTTGAATATATCTAACATTGAATAATCAGTATGAATTTCACGTAGAAATAATGCAGCGCTATTGATATATAACAAAAAGAAAAATATTTATAAGAAGATAAAATATAAAAACTTGAAAATAAACCTGAAATACTCGGTACGAAATCTATGCATATAACTAAAAGAATGTTCGAAAGAAATCTTTTCAAATTTTTGTTTATTTTAAACTAGTAGAATTTCTATTAATTTTTCTAAAAATACAATTCTTTCGAATATTCTAAAAAAATAAGCAAACATTATTGTCTTAATTAATACGTGACAGACAAAAACGTCTGTTTAAGAACAATGGGAAAATTATGGTTAACATGTCTATTATTTGTTCTTTACCCTCACATAACAATTGACAATAGTTTATTGTTAGATGTACTAACTAACTAAAAGAAGAAAGAAACTAAACATAATTTATTATTATTCGATATAATTTTATAAAGTTTAAAATAGAAATTCATTAAAATAAATAGAAAATATTTTTATTTATTCTTTTCTAGGCTGTAAACATTACTCCCTATGATGTTGTACCTAATATGCGTCCTGTTGTACTTGTTGGTCCGTCTTTAAAAGGCTATGATGTAACTGATATGATGCAAAAAGCTGTTTTTGATTTTTTAAAACATCGTTATGAAGGTCGAATAATAATAACACGTGTTACAGCTGATATATCTCTAGCTAAACGTGGTCTTTTAAATAATCCATCAAAAATTGCACTTATTGAACGTGGTGCACCATCAGGTGCTAATACTAATTCATCTGGAACATCATCTGGTATGGTGAGTCCAATGGGTACAACACGTTCAACTGGTATAAAAGAAGTTCATGATGAAATTGAACGTATATTTGAATTAGCACGAAGTCTTCAATTAGTTGTACTTGACTGTGATACTATAAATCATCCAGCTCAATTACAAAAAACATCTTTAGCACCATTAATTGTTTATTTAAAAGTTGCCTCACCAAAAGTTTTACAAAAATTAATTAAATCACGTGGTAAAAGTCAACACAGAAATCTTAATGTACAATTAGTTGCTGCTGATAAATTAACACAATGTTCTACAGTATGTTCAAATAATATAAAGACAAAAAAAAAAAACAATAAACCAAAAAACTTTTTGATATTTCTTTTTTTTTAAGGATATGTTTGATTTAATATTAGAACAAAATCAATTAGAAGATGCTTGTAATTGTTTAGCAAATTTCTTGGATAACTATTGGAATGCAACACATCCAAAATTAGATGAAAAAAATGAATTAACAAATGATTCAACACATGTACCACCACGTCCAACAGCTGCACTAATCGCTCATATACCACAAATAACTCCTCCAGGAGCAATACCAGTTATTACAACAACAACTACACGTCTTCTTCCATCATCACCACTTGTTAATGATATAACACAATCACATCTATTACCTCAACGAACACCATCACAATTATCGACTCATAGATACGGAACTGGAAGTATGGGAGGAGGTCTTCTTCAACGAAGACCATCAACAATGACTCCTGATTACTATCGACAAGCACCACCGCCGTTACCACAACCACCTGTACCTTCTTATGATGACGAACGTTTTGCCCATTATGAAATGGCCAATTTTCGATAGTCATCTAGTCGTTGTGTGTGTGTGCGTGTGTTTTTTTTTTTTATTTAATAAGTGTTGATCACTTACTTATGAATGCAAGTTCATTCATTGACCTTATGTTGCCCTTTTTGTTCTAGTCATTGTCGATTTCTTTCTTCTGGTTTCAGTGTCTAAGATTGATTCTTAGCTCTTCTTTTTTTTTTTGTGTTCTTTCAACTTTCACACTGACCGTCACTTTTTTCTTGTTCTTTTATTTCTTCTCTGTGTGTATTTTTTTTTCTTTTGCAATTTGTACACGAATACATAATGACAATTTTTTTTCTTCTTTTGAACGAATAATGAAACAAAGATATTTGCTTTATCTTTAAAACTAGACGTCTAGTAAAGGTGCTTCCCCATCTCTCTTCCTTCCAAAAAAACAAAATCGATTTTTCTAAAGAAAAAAAAAAATAGATAAATTCCAGATAAACATATAAGCATTTCAACTCTCAACATCAAAGCAATCATAAGTTTTCTAGAAAACATTGCCTAAGATAGCTGTTAGAGGTTCTTTGTGAAATCAGGATAGTCCAAGCGTTATAGCTTGAAGTATATTCAAAAAAACATTTGTACCAGAACTCCACATTGGATGAAATAGAACACTTCTGAAAATCTCATGCCTTGCCTTGTCCTATGAGACATCATATTCTTCAAATGAGTTTTAGAAATGTGAAATTTATTGATATATTTATCCATGTGATTAATTATACGATTGAGAGCAATTCAAAAATAGTAGCCGAAATATTTTATTTCTGTATATAGAAACCTTGAGAAAATTTTCTCTTTATATGTAGTGATAGCAAACACTATACTCTATTTTTCTGTGACATTTAATCATACTTCAACAAATACTATAATAATAAAATTTTGATGAGAGCTGTTGGCTATGATATGTGACGATAAAATTACATCGTATTTTCTTCGATGTGTATTTTTCCTTTGCCCTTCCCTTTATGGGTGTTGGTATTCCCTTCTCTCACATCCGCATCCAAAAATGTTTATATAAATGGCAGTTTATCCCATCCTGTCATATGCCATTCGGAGCTCTATTTTGCACAATGTTTTCTGGAAATTTTTCTTAATAGTGTAGTTTCATGAAAATTCTATTTGTTATATTGAAAATCAATTTTGGACGAGAGACTGATGTCTTAACATTGTTGATATAAAACTTAATGATCATTAAGTCTTTGCTTAGGCGAAATTTCGATTCCCCCTAATAACGTCGAAAGCAAAAATGTCGAAGCTAAAAATGTAGAAAGGTGCAAATGTCGAAAGTTAGCAATGTAGAAAAAGAAAAGTCGAAAGTTAAAATGTAGAAAATACAAATATCGAACTATAAAAACATCGAAATGTAAAAATGTCGAATATTAGAAATATAAACGAAAAAATTTCCAAAACATATAACCCTGGAAAACAAAAGTTGGACTTTGTATTTCGAATATATTTGCACTAAAGAAGTACATTATAAAAATACAAATTACATATTCTGAAAGTCCGTGGAGTTCTCTATCATGTTGTATAATTATGTTTTTGTTTAGATCTATTCGTTACCGGAAATAAATTGCATACAACGAAGACACCTCCTATATCGAGATTCCCAAAATTTTTATTTTTTTTCTCCAATCAAAATTAGTTCTTTGAACTTTTCATCCATATAGGATTACCAAATTAAAAAAAACAGTTATAGATTCTGATAGAGCTTGAAATTCTCGATCGCTCTGTTTATTTACTTATTTTATTATGTTCATTTGTTTTAAGAAAAACTTCAGTACAGTGAGCACACCATCAATTGACAAGTGTCTAAAATCGATATTTTTCGTTGCTGTTGGTGTTCTCTTTTTGCATTTATTATTATTATGCGAAAATGTTTTTGAATAAGCAATTTTATATTCTGGTAGAGCTTGAAATTCTCTATCATTCTGCACTTTTGAGACAATAAATGAGAGAGTGAATAAAAAAAGCTACTTACTTTTAGAGGTTGTCAACGAGTATATCGATGTAATATTCAAATTATTTTTCAGTATACCAACGCAAGATAGTTAAGAAATGTGCAGGGCAATAGAGAATTTCAAGCTCTACCAGAATATAACTGCTTAATCAAAAAAAAATGAGTTTCTGGTAGTAGTAATAAATTCAAAAAGAGAGCTGCAAAAACAATAAAAAACGCAAATATTCTGTATTTGTCGATTCGGAATTTTTTCATTGTACTTAAATTATTTTTCGATAGGTGAACGCAAAAAAATAAGCAAATATATGGGGTGTTAGAGATTTTTAAGCTCTATCAGAATCTATAACTGTTTTTTTTAATTTGGTAATCCTATATGGATGAAAAGTTCAAAGAACTAATTTTGATTGGAGAAAAAAAATAAAATTTTTGGAAATCTCAATATAGGGGTGTCTTCGTTGTATGCAATTTATTTCGATAACGAATAGATCTAAACAAAAACATAATTATACAACATGATAGAGAACTCCACGGACTTTCAGAATATGTAATTTGTATTTTTAAAATGTACTTCTTTAGTGCAAATATATTCGAAAACAGGAAAACAAAAACGTATTTGTACTCTGTATCAACGATATAATGATGGTGTAATTAATTCTTCTCAACTTCTTACTGGATTGTCGTATCTCATGGGAAATAAAATATAGTTATAAATTTTATATCAATACAAGTTTGTTCCCTAATTCAAAGTCTTTCAGCATTTTATCTTTATTATTTGTATAATTTTTTTTTCTATGATTAAGAACTTTGCAACAAAATAATTATAACGATTTTTCTTCAATCAAAAGAAAATTTTCTATACTTTCGATCATTTTACATTTCGACATTTTATTTTTCGAAATTATTATCATTCGGTCTTCTTACCTTTCGATATTTTTTTGTGAAATTTTTCGGCATTTTTACCATTCGACATTTTTTCTTTCGATCAAATTAGAGTTAACCGAAATTTCAAACCGATATTTCTTAATTTGATTTTTTTTTTGGTGAATATACCGAAATTTGGCTCGAAAATGATGGAAACTCTTGATCAATTGATTATAGCCTTTTCCTTAACTCACGAGGGAACCTTCCGAAGTGTCAAAAAGCTTTTGAGCCCAAATTTTGTCCATAAGTAGAGAATATATAGACTAGAAAAAGCCTAAGAGGATATGGGCCCAAGTTGAGATTTGGCTGAGATATCGGCTTTTTACTATAGTTTTCCTATGGGACCCCATTTTTCCCATTAAGTCAAAGTTTCGGATTTTGACGTGAAACTTTGCCCATATCAAGACCTCAACTAGAGTAGCCCATCTACAAAGTTTCAGAATTTTTCGACTAAGCATTCTCGAGATATGAGTCTGTTAGTATAAACACAGGTTTTTACGAATATTCTTATATGCATGGATATTTTGAAAACATTATATCTCGGGAATGCTTAGTCCAAAAATTCTGAAACTTTGTAGATGGGCTACTCTAGTTGAGGTCTTGATACGGGCAAAGTTTCACGTCAAAATCCGAAACTCTGGCTTAATGGGAAAAATGGGGTCCCATAGGAAAACGATAGTAAAAAGCCGATATCTCAGCCAAATCTCAACTTGGGCCCATATCCTCTTAGGCTTTTTCTAGTCTATATATTCTCTACTTATGGACAAAATTTGGGCTCAAAAGCTTTTTGACACCTCGGAAGGTTCCCTCGTTAGTGTAGCTAATCCGCGCAATTTCAGCTTGAATTGTGGGTCATCACTTGGGGATCTTCTCTTGTAAGACGACTTCTGTTGTACTCATCGAGATCTATCTGCTCTGAAAAATTCCTAATTTTTCTGATGAACTATTCTCCAGAAACTCTAGAAAGGGAAAAGCTCACTTGACGACTACAATTGCACTAATTGATAAGTCGACGTCTGCTTGTAACCGTATAAAATCGCAAAAACGCATGAGTATTTGTCATCGCAGCAGATGGCAAAGCAAATATTTAATTGTTTTGAACTGTATGCGCAAAAACTATGCAGGGAATAGTTGGATGTTCGACCAAGAAGTATATTTATTTATAAAAAAAAATTATATCACAGCTGTTTCATAAACCACTGGCGAGCTTTCTCCGAAATTGCTCGACGGGCCGCTTGTATAACAATATTCGATTCTTGAATTACGTCGTTTTCTTCCTTCATGATGTCGACGACAAGCCACTAAAGAAAAGTCGAAATATTCTTCAGTTTGATCTCCAATTGTTATTCATGAAGATGATTCAAGCCCTGGATCATACGGTTTTCTGTACAGGCATAATCGACAAACTCGTTGAGACTCGTCAATTTTTCTACGTCCACTGCTGCTAATCTTTGTGTTTTGGTTACCGAATGTTCGGTTTCCTTGACTTTGAATGCCAAACGACCTCGTGAATGAGCCCATTCGGTCCAGACCACGTCTTCACCTATACCTGGCTTATTAAAATGAGCACCGACAGGACATTGTCGTTTAACAGCTCTTGTGATTTCAACAAGACGATTCTGCGACAAGTCCAGTTGATTGAAGTCGATCTCAATATTGTAGGTCGGAAAATCGAAGATGCTGTAAATGGAATGTTCAGGCCAACGAATATCGGACCACTGATTGGGTTCGGGCCAAAATTTATTGTTGCTTCTGGCTGCTTCTTGCTCAGACTCACTGTCCTGATCAATTGATTCGTACTTCTCGCTGGCCACCGTGGCATCTACAATTCTGACCTTGAAAATGACGAACATTTTTGGCAGATCATAAATAGCTACATTATTTTGGATATTGCCATCGCACCATTCACCATAGATGACAATACTACAACCGCATTCATAATATTCACGCATCGTCGGATGATGGAGTAGAATGCGATCGAAGAAAAATTCTTTCGCTAACGGATTCATTGTTTGAGCAAAGTCCATATTGTCTTTCAACGGTGTGATGATTTTACTCCGAGATTGTAACCAATAACCTCTATCTTTTTGATAACCAATTGCCGCATTGGTATCGTGTAGTTTCACAGTGCCAACAAATTTGAGCACAGGATATCCTGCGCTGGGATCTGATGGGCGTTGCCAGGTGACTGTTTTGATAACCGAATGAAATCGTTTAGTTTTTGGATAAGGAATCATCGTTTGTGAAAGAATATCTCATTTTCATTCTTAAATACATCTCGTATGACGGTCTGCTACTTCTTTAAATGATGTAATGGCATACTCTTTCGTGATATATCTGATCGGTTCTGTTCTGATTCATCGACATTAAGTTTGTCGCTGCTCCCTTTGAATATGGTTACGTTTCTACTCAATGTGGTGCTTATTTTCTTCCTTCGTCAACATAGCTTATAGTCAATGGTACATGATGGTTCTTTCACCATTCGAACGTAATTTTTCTTTTTTCTTCCTCAATGTATACGTGTGCATACACTGGTTCATGAAACATTTTCCGAATAGAAAAATGATATTGCCTGAGTAAAGAGTACGGATTTGTTTCATATGACAAAATTGAAAGGTATGGAGTGAGTATTGAATATATGGTTGTAAGAAACTATGATGTGTCCCGACCTTACTTACCACATTTCAAACGCATATTAACCACGATTCAGACGCATTGCAACTTAAAAAATATTTATATGGGATAGAATATAAAGTCATTCGAACGCACTAAATTTATGTATTAGAATCATGAACAATCATCTCTTATCGAAATATTGAAGCTTACATCATTTAAACTTCTTTTTCAATTTGAATATCACTGAGATGTGTTATACCAGCAAATGATTGAAGACGAGTTCGATGAGGATTAGCATCGATTTCAAATAAAACTCGTCGTAAATCTTGATCTTTATTTTCTGTTTCCAGACGAAAAATAGCACTTCACGACTTATTGTACTTGAAACAAATGAACTCATTGAAATCAATTTTGCTTGATATTGTTTTTAAAAAAAATTAATTCATTAATGGACATCAATTGGCCTTGATAAACTTGAATTTTCTCTGAACACTGATTGTTTCTTAATTCTTCATACACATCGGAAATAAAAAAACCAAAAAAGATATAATAAATGAATATCTTATATTCGTAATACTTTATTTAATAATATCAAGAGAAGTGTTTCTGTAGTATACCATCAAATTGCGTCAGAATGATGATAAGATTTTCGAAATTTCTTCAGATACTAAGGTCATACGAAAAGATTTCTTTTTGACTGCTTGGAGAAATTTTCTTTTCATATGAACAGATAGAGTGTCTTTTGCTCTATCTTTCTATGCTATTTGATCACTATTCAGTCGATATCATAATAATAAAATTATCATAAAAACTGTTTTTGTGGAACTCCAGCTGGTGACAATAGTGCATATTATCATCTATGCATGTTTTTTCTTTTCGTTTTTTTTTCTTTATTTTTCCTCTTCTTCTCCCTCGAAAACACATGCTATATTTCTCTCTCTCTTCTTTTCGTATGTTCAGGTTATTCAAGTGCATTTTCTCTTTTCCGTTGTGTACCAGTCTTTCTCTTGATGAACTTTTTTCATCTCTTTGCTTTGGTCTGACTCATGATCTTCTGGAATTTTCTTCAGTGTCCGAGCTTCGATATATATACCTGCCACTTCAGACGAGTAATTCAGTCTTGCACAGCTTAGGCCTGTAATCACTTTGAATTGATAAACGACTTGTAACAGATCACTTAAGAAGGATTAATCTTTAACATTATCCATTTGTTGTAAATGAGTAAAGAAAATTTCCGCTTTTATATTAAAGTACGCACAGCACTTAATATTCCACTAGGAGTGGTTTATGATGAACTGTATTGTGTATGTGGTGATCAAGCGCCTTCCTATGCAACAGTTAAAAGATGGCCTAAATGGTTTCATGAAGGCCGAGAAGAAGTTGAAGATGAAGCACGACCTGGCAGACCTGTTACCGAAACAACATCGGAAAATATTGAACAGGTCCACCTTCTTATCGATGATGATCCTCACATTACAATAGAAGAGGTGCAAGAGCAAACTGGTTTAAGTCATGGTACCGTTCAGCGAATCATCACCAATCATTTAAACCTTAAGAAGGTTACCGCTCGTTATATACCCGAGGATTTGACTGACTTTCAACGGGCCGAACGAGTCCGAATATGCCAACAAAATTTGGCAAAGTTTCAAGAAGGATCATGGCGTTTATGTGATATAATAACTGGTGACGAGTCGTGGTTTTATCACACACAAATTGGTTGAAAGTCATCGAATGCAGCATGGGTAGGAAGAGGAGATCCTCCACCTACTGTAGTTCGACGTAGTAAGTTTGCTCCAGGAACTTTATTCTCCATCTTTTTTAAGTCAAATGGTTCTGTTTTCATTCATCGTGTGGAACGGGGAGAAGTTATTGACCATCATTATTACATCAACAATTGTTTACGACCTCTTGTTGATGAAATTAAACGTCAAAGACCTTCATATGGCACTAGTCGTATTAAAATTCATCATGATAATGGAAGGCCACATATTCATAAAGATGTGTCCGATTATCTTGAATCGGAAGGTCTCACAATAATACCACATCCACCGAACTCTCCAGATTTATTACCATGTGACTTTTGGTTATTCGACCTAATTAAAGACAATATGACTGATAAAAATGATTCAGAATCATTATACAATGCTGTGAGCGAGTTCATGTATTCTATAAATAAAGAAGAATATAGAAAAATCTTCGAGAAATGGATTGAAAGAATGCAATTGCGTATAGATAACCAAGGTGATTATTTTGAACATTTGATAAAATAAAGAATTATTCAACTTGTTTCTGTATTTCTTTTCTGTTCTATAACCATTATTTTTGTGCACTGTAACATATATGAACGGCTAGTTATTAGAAGGGATAAGAAAAGGAAGACGAAAGAAAGAAGAAGAGAAAAATAAAGAAAAAAAAACATGTATAGATGATAACATGCACTATTGGTACCAGCTGGAGTTGCACAAAAACAGTTTTTATGATAATTTTATTATTATGATATCGACTGAATAGTGATCAAATAGCATAGAAAGATAGAGCAAAAGACACTCTATCTGTTCATATGAAAAGAAAATTTCTCCAAGCAGTCAAAAAGAAATTAAGAGATAGAGCTCACTACTTTTGGTATGACTTAAGTATCAGACCCGTGAGATATATTTCCTTGTGAACAAACCTTTCACATTAAAACATCAAATGAATAAACATCGAATGCTTCAGAATAATTTGATTGATCTCTACTTTTGAGAATTTCAGGAGCATAATAGCGTACTGGAATAGCTGTTTGTGTGTTATCTGCATATGAAGAATTTGCTTTACATGCCATACTAAAATTAGTTAGTTTAACCAGATTTTTTGATGGAGTTCTTTGATCCATTCGAAAGACGAGAAAATTTGAACAACATAAATTACTTAGTACAATGTCTTGGCCACCTATGTAAATCATGGCTTTCAGGATCTGTAGGAAGATTGCCATGAGAACTTCAACTGATGGTTGGGAACATTTACTCTGTAACAACATTTGAAGATTGTCATGTGTAGCATGTTCTTGCAGTAACATAGGCAATTGATCATTATTTTCAACGAAACCAAAAGTATGTATAATATGAGGATTAGAGTTGAGCGTCAAATAGATTGGTCCTTTGTCATCCACTAAGAATTGGCATTCTTTGACTTTTGAATACTCTAGATTTTCTTTCTGGTTCCTTGTGGACTGATCGACATTAAAATACATTAAAATTCTTCTTTCTTTTACGAAGAAGAGTTCGTCAACCAAACTCACCCTCATTGTCAAAATGTTTCAGTAAATTCAAGAATTACTGTTGACTCTGATCGGAACTATATTCATACATTTATGCCCTAAATTAAACTGTTTCATATTATTTCTCAAAATTTATTTGATTAGAACAAAAATAATCCATTAAAATAAACAATCACTGCCGTGTTACAAGAGTGTTTGCCGAAGATCTACGTGAATCCGTCGTACGTTTCCTATATTGTTGAAGCTCCACGCATAAATAGCCCAGCATAGCGACTGTTAGATATACTATTTGCAAAATAATCGCTGTGCGTACACGCGTCGAGGGTCCGTAGAGATAGACAACAAAGTAACCAGTATATTGGCTCAACCACATGTTCGAAAATGCAGCTTCTTCTTTTTGTGCAAACAATATGCCGTACAATGCTAAATTGAAATGAATATGTTCACAATACTGTAGTCTTTTAGTAAACTATGGAAAACTGTGACTTGTCGACTGAGTATTCTCTTTCCAGCGATTTCTATTAAGCAGTATTCCGGTTCAGAGATCAGTGGAACTTTTGTTTATCTTACGACTGGCTTCCATCGGAAAAGGACTCAAAGGCGATTGATTTCCGGTTCAGAATACAACTTTCTAGAGTAGATTGGAAATTACTAAAAACGATGATTCCTGGATGTACGTCGTCTATTTGAAATATGCAGTTATTCACCGTAGAAAGTCTTGAGAAGAGTATTATCTGATAAGAGCTATAGGCATTGGCTAGTAAGGGTGTGGGTGTGGGTGTGGGTGTGGGTGTAGGTGTGGGGTGTGGGGTGTGGGCGTGGGTGTGGGGTGTAGGGCTTCAACAAAAAAATACTTTCACCTATACCCATCGACACCCACACCCATACCCTTACTAGCCAATGCCTATAGCTCTTATCAGATAATACTCTTCTCAAGACTTTCTACGGTGAATAACTGCATATTTCAAATAGACGACGTACATCCAGGAATCATCGTTTTTAGTAATTTCCAATCTACTCTAGAAAGTTGTATTCTGAACCGGAAANACATACTAATACCAATAAGATTGACTGTTGAAAAAGTTTTTGAAATTATCTACTGAAAAATTGATTTTAACAGTAGACGTACTGAAAGTTTATTAAACATTAAGAGATAATTGTTCTTCAATATACTATTTTTCGTAAAAATAAAGTAAAATAATTGATATAGTTTTTAACTTCATATTCAATTGGTTTCATTATAAAATTGCGTTTTTTCTTTTTCTAACAAAAGTCGCAATTACCTATCGAAATGATAGAATTATAAAAAAAAACCTACATGAAGTGGCGGAACTGCGGAGGAACAGGGAAAACTAAATTAAATAGAATTCTTAGTTTATTGTCACGCTTTTCATTATGGATAAATTAATTATTTTTTTTCATTAATTTTATATCAACCGAATAAGAAATGTATTTCCGTTTCCAGGAAAATAAAGCCCATTGTTCAACAATGTTTCTAATTTACTTTCAAATGAATTACTAAAAATATTTTTCTTATTTAAAATAAAGATACTTAACTGGAGTCATTAGATAATGAAGCCATTTAAAATCTTGTTTTTTTTTTCTTCTGCAAATTATTACTTAAAAGAATCATTTATGTCATCAAAAAAAAAAACAACAAATTGTATTATAACCAACTTAAAGATTAATAACTTTACCATTATCAGGAGAAAATATTATTTGTTGAAAATGATAAACGTATAAAAACATAATTCTATTCTTTCTTCAAATGATTTTAAAGGATTAACAAAAAAAAACAAATATATGTACTTTTAACGATAATGTCTATTGGTTAGTTACTTTAGTGGTATTTTTCTGTTTTGATGAATCTCATAGAAAATATCTTGGAGACGATTATAATTTCTTTAGGAATATACTTTTAAGATTATTATTATTATTATTACAAAAATAAAGGATTTTAATCTTATACATTCTTTTAAAATAAAAGATAATAATTAATTAAATCTACGTTCTAAGGGTTTAAATGCACTATGTAATAAACATAAAATATCTATCCTATTGAATATAACAACTGAAAAAAAAAGAAACTTCGGAACGAACGAACAATATTTATTCAAAGAAAAAAAAGGGTAGATGACTAGCGCGAGCTCATGATATTCAAAATATAGAACGATAGTAAAACTAGTAAATGAACTATATTATATATGTGTCAAAAAATAGTTCTGGATACGAGTAGTTATTCTTCTGTTTTCTTTCTCTTCTCCTACGTTATGTCTTTAATCCAAACGGCTTTTATATTATCCTTCTAATTGATATCTCTGTTGGGATCAAACGTGATAAAACTAAAAAGCTGAGAAAGAAGAAGAAGAAGAAGAAGAAGAAAAAAAAACAACCTTGAATTCAAAAATGTATTATTATCATCATGTCTGTTTTTCATATTAACGACCATAGAAAACATCATTCTATTTCCGTATTTTTTTATTATTTAGAAAAAAAGATATATGATGTCCTTGTAGATTCTTTTACCTTGTTCTTATTATGTATGACGATGATTTCGGAACTTTAGCTTCTAGACGATATAAGGTTTTTTTTTTTTTTTCTAAATTATAGGCAAACTTAAATTAAAAGTTAGTGGCTAATGTATTGAAAATTCATTCGACAATGTGTATATTTTGAAAACGTACGCTATATTACCAATACCGAAGCTTACTTTGCGAGTTTGTTTTTCATAGAAATTGCCTAAATTGATACGATATCCACTAGCAGAAAACAAGCTGTTGACACATAACTTCAAGCTAACTAAACATTAATAAACTATGTTATAGACGAAGGTTTGCTCTTTCATTCGCTGTACTTCAAATAATTTTCGCTTTTACTTTAGATAATTTTATATGTGCTAAAGTTCATTCAAACTTAGTTTACTGATCTCTAAAAGGGTGTAAACCTCTTAGAAAAGCTGAAAAATGAATATCGATAATTTGTTATTGTTATTTTGTAAAGAAGTCAAAATAATATTTTAAACAAGTGAATAACTATTAGAACACATTTCATAAGATTTAAATTGATAATCTGTTTCTGTATGTTAATAAAAATTAATAATCAATGTAAGAATATTTAAGAGTAATTCATAATATTGCTGGATAATAAAAAATTTTTTTTGAACTTCATATTACATGGTCGTATGCAGAAAATTTTTAAAGGATTACATTATCATATTGAATAATCGATTAAACTTTGTCCATAATACGCGAAATATAATGTTGATTCAATCTGTTACGTTTAACAGAAAAAAAAATCAATATTAATTTTCATAATTTTCGAAAAATATTTAAGTTCTTTTGACATAAATATTGTTAATATGTTGAAAATCCCTTTATATACTCTATTATAAGAAAAAATAAAAACGCAAATATAGTCGTGCTATCTAACTGGATTTTCATATATATTAGAGTGCGATAAAAAAAAAAAGATGACATCATTAAACTAAGCTTAACTTTATTCGTTGTTTCTTGACATGAATGAAATCGAAACAAAAATAATCTAGTCAATTTAGAAAACATTATTATTTAAAATATCAATGAAAAATTGATCATTTTAATATTTGATGAATAATATTTGTTGTATTAGTGTTTAAAAGAAAATTGAAATGATTTCTATTGGTATTTTTTGTTTTTACTCGTTGTATAGAAATCATGAATTTTTTATTCATTTCGATATATTATTGATTGTATTTTAGCAGTAGGATCAAACAAATGAATCAATAACGATTTGTAAATTGAAATTCTCCTATTATTATTTATTTTTCAGTACTTTTTTTTTATATTCAAAAATCTACTATAGTCTATATTGTTCTGCACAGAAAATATAGACCTATATACAAAAAGAAAGGTGAATAAATAGGCAATTGTGTCACATTATATGAAAAATAAAAGATGGATGATATGCACCAACATAGAAATCATAAAAGTATCAGAAGTTATATACTCAAGTTAGTTACGAGTCAATTGAAAGCTGTTATTCATATATGAACTTCTCGTCTTCAATGAACCAAGATCTTTTCGATTTGTATTATGATTATTTTTTTTTCTTTTGATGTTTTGAGAAAATCATGTATGTGATTTATCGATTGAAATATGGTGCAAAAAACATTTTATTATGAATGTTGGAGAAGTCAAGAAAGAAAAATAAAAGTCTATAATTACACATCGTCTTTTTTTTCAGTTGCGACAAAACAGAAGAACGTTTGTTACAATACTGCGAGTGTTTTATTTAAACAGAACGATCAATCATCAATCACGACGTACATACAATGACAGAAACAAAGTAAGTCTTTTATTGCCTGTACAACAATCAAATTTTATGAGATAATATTCGATAGAAAATCAAAAATATTAACTCATGAACAATTAGAAGCTATTTTAAAAACTGATCATATTCGGGAACATTTAATTAAAGTTGGTTTAGTAAGTTTTTTTTTTTTTTTAATTGAATAAGAAACACATTACTTTTTTCTTTGGTATTTCTACATAATAGATCAATCACCGCGGGGATATTATTCCGAAGGATGAATATAGACATCGTACTAGACGACGACATACCTCAAATAAGTAATCGGATGTTTTTTTTTCTTTTATTGATTAAAAGAAATTCATGTTGTTTTTCTTTAATTAGAAATTTATATTATAAAACATCTGCAAGTCATCATCCATCGGTTACATCGACTGTTAGACGTCCGAAAGAAAATATTTCAGTTCGTCGAAATATTCTTTCTTATTGTTTTTTTTTTTTATATTGAAATTATAATAGAATACAAATGAACAAGATCGACCGCAGCCACCTAATTACAATTCAACAGATCGAAAACTTAAAAGTACTTCTAGTGCTCAACCAAAACAAGTAGTTACGTAAAAACATGTTGTTTGAAAAAAAAAATTTTCTTTTCATTAGACAAATAAAGCACCACTTTCAACACGTTTTTCATCATCAACATGGATAGAGAATGTTCGAGTTCGTCAAGCAGTCAGTCCACTGGTATTGTAATGTTGGCAATTTTTCAATTGTTTTCTTTTCTTCAGAAAGAAAAAAGGAAAAATATTTTTTTCATTCAGTTTTTATTATGTCAGTGTCAATCAACGATATTGTTTTATAGAATTTACGATAGAAAACTTAAGCATTTTATCTTCTATTGATATCTGTATAAATGGTATTACAATCAAAAACATTCAAGAAACAAAAAAAATGAACTACTTACTTAAATTAGATTTTATTCAGTAGAAATGAATTTTCTTTATTTATGGAACATAAAAATTTTATTCAATTTTTATGTATGTCTGACAAGTCAAAACCTATGAGTTAAGATGCGCTTTTCAAATATAGGCTTAGAAATGTTTAATTTCAGTTTTTTCTTCGAGAGTAGTGAAATCATTTTTCAAAACTATTTTGAGATGAAATTTGTCGACTGACACGTTCTATAAACATATTTGTTCGTTGTAATCTGCTTGAAAGCATTTTAATATAGATTATTTTTGTGTAACTTCTTGAAAGGTCTGAAAAAATATTTTTAACCTTTTACTTCTTATTTACAACTTTAACCTACAAGAAATATTTATCTTCATGATAAATATCGACGTTCTCGTCGAAAATAATATTTTTAGACTTTTTAAAAACCGTTAAAGTCTAATCCTATGACTAATAGCTTCTGATGTGTCTAAAATACATCATAAGTAAACAAATATCTTGTCTAAAAATTTTAATTAAAATTCATTATTAGAAAGAATAATAAAGACAACAACAACAAAAAAAAATTCTCACTTATATTTATCTCATACAGATAATGCCTGCTGATAATCGATGTTTCGTAACAGTGAGATATTTTGGAGATGAAATCAATATTGATTATAATCGTAGTTTGTTTATACCTGGAGATGACGAAATTCTTGTTATGCAACAACATTGTGGTGGAGAAAATCTTATTGTTTTTAAAGGTTTATTGAAACCTGATGGTAATTTATACACTAAAGTTATTTATGTATATTAAAATAATTAAATATTTTTTTTTTTTTCTTAGAGGATTTTTCATTTCAATCTCGACGACATACAGATTATCCATTTGCATTAGCATTTTATATAAATGGCGTTATTAATAATCGTCTATCGGTTTGTTGTGAAAATAGATGTAAAGATTATATGCGAATTGGAGGAAAACGTGGTCTATTTGCTATTAGAAATATCGAAAATTGTGCACCATGTCGAAGGTTTTTTATTTAAAAATTGTTTTATTATTATTATTATTTTAAAACTATTTATTTCTACATTTAAAAGATGTCGATTTGAACAACGAATGAAAAAATTGATGGAAGGAGAACCGAAACCAAAAGTATATTTTACTTTGTTTTTTTTCTTAAAATACTTTTCGTATAAGTTTCTTTAGCCTAAACGAAATCGCTATCGAAAACCAGCTGAGAGTGGTACACCAAGTCGACAGTCAAGTACTTCTCGTGAGACAAAATCAACACTTCCATGTACGGAAAGTTCACAGCAAACAGAAACCAATACAGGCAGTCCTAAGCCAGCTCAACCTAATAAGACAGATTCCAAAACAAATGGATCTCTTACATTCAGTACGGAAACTAATAATAAGGATCATTCCAAAATAAATCGATCACCTATATCAAGTCCAATACCAACCGAACCGGATAACAAAGATCATTCCAAAACAAATGGATCACCTGCATCGAGTCCGAAACCAACTGAATCTGATAATAGGGTTGTTCATGCGACATATTCCCATGATTCATCTTCTGAAATATCTGATTCCCCTATTTCTTCTCCAAAAACAAACCAATTTAATGAGAAAGATTCCAAGACAAGTGGATTTCGTATATCCATTCCGAAAATAGTCGATAGTAATAACGAGGATCATTCCGAGACAAGTGAATCATCTACACCGAGACAGAAATCAATCGAAACAAGTAAAAATGATGTTTCGAAAAATAATAAACCTCGTATGTCGAGTCCAGAGTCAATTAAATCTGATGTATCAAGTGTGGAAGGTATATAATTAATGTCAAATAAACGCTGGCTATCTTTTCTATTTTATCTCTAGAACAACATGGATCATCATCTCTAACAAGAATTCGTCCGATGACTGCGGTAGATTTTCTTTTTTGCTTTTGATTAATACATTAATTAATTTTTGTTCAATTGTTTTAGCCAAGTAATCAACGAAAAGCAACTAGTTCACCAAATCGTAAATTAATAACTAAAAGTCGTGTTCTTTTTTTTTTTAATTTTTATTTCTTTTAGCATCTGGTGCAGATCTTGAAGAAGTAGACGATGAAATACATTCACCGCTTTCAACTACTGTATGTTGTTCAGTTAATATTCATTTTTATTTTTTTATACATTCTTCTTTGTTTTTTTTTAGCGTGAAAACGATCAAATTCAATATAGAAAAAGTTAGTTAAAATTCTAATTTTTTTTTTTTTTATTCAGAAAAAAAATTTATTTTCTTTTAGATAATAATCTCGATCGTGTTTCTATTGTTTCATCTGAAAAAGATGATAATGAAGAATTAGCAACAATAAGCGACGATTCAAGTACTGATTACGAAGAAACTCTAGCTTCATCAAATTTACATAAAAATACTGATGATTAAAAAGTAACATTAAAATAAAACATTTTAAAAATCAAAAACCTTCGTTTTGAAAAAAATAAATTTCATGCCATTTTTTTTTATATGTTTCATTGCAAATATTCATGCGTCGAGTGGATTGTTATTGAAAAAAAAAAAGAATAATTTTCTTCGAGTTATGTTTTATTTATTAGAATGAAATTCGATCAAAGAAATTATTCATATTGATATAAAGAAAACTACAGTGATATATAAAAGATCCCAAACGAATTAGGATGTTTCATAAATTTTCAGGCGTCATATAATTAGTTTATATGCAAACAAACAATAATCTCTAACCGAATGTTTCATTTTTAAGACGACTATAGCCTATAAGGTACAAAATTTTTGGATATGAACCAACTCTACGAACTCCAGATAAAAGTGCTCAGGATTTATATAAAAAAAAAATTCTCCTTAGGGTTATTCTCTGTCTATGTAATACTATATATGAAAGAAATGAATCGTGTTTGCATCTATGCTAGAAGTTCGTAACATAAATATGTCGTTTGACTTTTCATTCCGTGTTATCAGATTGCGCAAAAAAAAAAAATAGAAATTATTGCACGTTAATTAACTCTAATGACGTCATAAATATCCATAAAAAGATATGACAAAATCTTTTCATTATAATTGCTAATAAGATTGAAATGTCGTATTTATATTAACTTAGACTATTTATATCACCGAAGATATATTTTCTCAGTACAAAACACTTTCGATGAAATTCAAATCAGTCAAAATTATACTAATTCCGATTCGTCAATTTAATATTAAAATTTTTTTCTTTTTATATTTTTACAATAATTATTCTTTTGACTGTTATTTTTGTTAAACAGAAGAAGTTTTACAAGTTGATATCATGTTTTTTATAATACTCTATTCGTTCAACATTTATATTTAATATAATAACCCATTGAATGTCGAATAATTTTATTTATGATATTGATTCTTTTATATTATTGTTAGACGCTGTAACTTTTGATATGTCGTTATAATCTTTCAAAAGCTTTCGAATTTTTTTTTTTGATAGAAGAAACGTGAAGTGTATGTCAATTGCAACGAAGTAAATATTATTTGTTCATAGGAGGATAACTTCAGCTAAAAAAATTATTACTTGATCTAAATAATTGGTTTAATTATCTGATCATTGATCTGTCTCTATCTTATATAAATACGATCTTTTTCAAAATTATTGATTTTCTCTCTCCCTCTCTTGTTAACATTATTTGAATTCTTTCCTAATTAACCTATTATCTCATCTTCAATCGAATATTTAACATATTACTATGATACCTTAGAATGAACTGAAGTAATACATTTATTTAAAAAAATATTTCAATAATAAATGATTAAACTGATATATAAAACTTAGTTAACTTCAAATATATCTTGTTCAGTATTACAAAAAAAATTGACTGTTGACAAAAATGTTCTTGATTTTATTCAAGTTTGTCTAAAATTCAAATATTTATTTTGTCTAAGACTAGAATAGCAAGTTCAAAATTCATGTTTGACTATGACCAACATTCATAAATTTAAATGAATATTAGCCCTAAAGAGGGCTGTTGGGTTTTTAGTTATATCTTGATGTTAATAATATTTTTTTTTTAACTTAAATGTCAAGCATATTTAAGCTTTGTCAGCTGCTTTGGCACCTGATGATGCTTTTTCAGCTTTTTCACCGGCTGGTTTCTTTTTGCTTGGACCAGCTGAACCAGATGTTTCACGTGGTGTTGATACAGCACCACCTTCGGCAGTCTTCTTTGGTAAAAGAATAGCTTGAATATTAGGCAAGACACCACCTTGAGCAATTGTTACACCTGATAATAATTTGTTTAATTCTTCATCATTTCGAATGGCTAATTGAAGATGACGAGGAATAATACGTGTTTTCTTGTTATCACGTGCAGCATTTCCTGCTAATTCAAGAATTTCAGCCGATAAATATTCAAGTACGGCACCTAAATAAACTGGAGCACCAGCACCAACACGTTCGGCATAATTACCACGTCGAAGAAGACGATGAATACGACCCTATTTAAAAAATAATAATAATAAAAAAATTATTTTAAAAAAAATAATAAAATTAAAACTTACAACTGGGAATTGAAGACCAGCTCTTGATGAACGAGTTTTCGCTTTAGCTCGTGCTTTACCACTTCCTGCAGTTTTACCACGTCCGGACATAATGTGTCTTGATTTGTTTTTTACTTGACGAAAATGAGAAGAGAATGAATGATATAGAGAATAAATCTGTATATACCCATCGCCTTATATATGTCCATGTAATGAACAACATTTCAAACCAATCATGTTAAAACATTACTGATTGGTTGTTCACCTATCAAAACAATGTGCATATAAGAACGTGCAGAAATCATCTCAATTCTTTTCATTCATATCAATCGAAAAAAAAAAAAACTCTTACGTACATTTTTTTTCTCTTAACATGCCACCAAAAACACCGTCGAAAGGAGCCAAAAAGGCTGTTACAAAAACATCAAAAGGAGCATCTGGTGCTAAAAGTACTGAAAGAAAAATCAAACGCAAACGAAAAGAAACATACTCAATTTATATTTACAAGGTACTTAAACAAGTTCATCCAGATACAGGTATTTCATCAAAAGCTATGTCAATTATGAATTCATTTGTTAATGATATATTTGAACGTATTGCTGCTGAATCAAGTCGTTTATCTCATTATAATAAACGATCAACAATTAGTAGTCGCGAAATTCAAACAGCTGTACGACTTTTATTACCTGGTGAACTTGCTAAACATGCTGTATCAGAAGGTACAAAAGCTGTTACCAAGTACACAAGTGCTAAATAAACAAATTATCAACAACAATTTGACAATAAAATAAACCCAAACAGCCCTCTTTAGGGCTACGAATTTTTTTTTTAAATTCATAAATGTTAATATTCGAGTTTAATATAAACTGAATTTTATAGTTGGGAAAATTATTTATTTATTTTTTTTATAGAAAATTATTAGATATAATTTGTACTGTTGATGTTTAGTTAATTATCATTGAAATTGTTTTGTGTTCGTTCAAATAAGAAAATTGGAAATAGAACAAAAAAAAGAAGCTATTGCAATGATAAAACTATGAAGAAAAAGTTTGACTTGTAGGTTTTTGAAAATTTCAATCCTTTGATATATAGATAGGAATTCTGTATTCGATTTTTTTTTCAGTAATAAAGCATAACTTGTCACTTCACATTCCTATTCGATGAGTCATTCTTCATTGTTATTTTTGTGCGGACATAATCGGTGACCTTTTATTCATAATACAACAGAATTGAATGAACTTTTACATTTATGTATTCATATTGTATTATCAAAATGAATTTTTTCTTCAATAGCGTAATACGTCTGAATTCTTTAGACAAAAGATTATTGATGTATGAAATATATATGAATCATCGACTGATCCAGGATATTGTGTCGGAAAGAAATGTAAGAGGATGATAAAGAAAAAAAAGAATTTTTTTGTTTGACGTTCATTCGTACTTGTATTGCTTTGTTTTTTATTAAAGATTTAAGTTCGGAATTGAAGGACGATTGTCGTCCTAATTTCTTGATTCGTATATTAAATATCTCGAAATCTTTTTGGCATTTTTCTTTTTTCCGTACATGTATATATGTGCATGATGAACAGCTGATTTTTTTCGTTTCTTCATCTTTCTCTTTCTGATTGGTTTGTAAGCATAGTCTCTTAAGTGACCAACCGGTGAATGTTTTCTCTGCATGATATATATAAAGAATGTATAGATCATGTTATGATCATTATTACAATAAAGAAAAAAATTTATAAAATAAAATGTCCGGTCGTGGTAAAGGTGGTAAAGGCTTAGGCAAAGGTGGTGCTAAACGTCATCGTAAAGTACTTCGCGATAACATTCAAGGTATAACAAAACCAGCTATTCGTCGTTTGGCTCGACGTGGTGGTGTTAAACGTATTAGTGGTCTTATCTATGAAGAAGTACGTGGTGTATTAAAAATATTCTTAGAAAATGTTATTCGTGATGCTGTTACATATACTGAACATGCCAAACGAAAAACTGTTACAGCTATGGATGTTGTTTATGCACTTAAACGACAAGGACGTACTTTATATGGTTTTGGATCATAAATTAAATGATACCAAAAGTCTAAAAAAAAAAATATTTACCCAAACAGCCCTCTTAAGGGCTCAAAATAGTCTTTTATTTTTTAAATTCATAAATGTTGGATTGGGATATAAATATAATAGAAAAATGATTTTGTTTATTCTATTCGAAATTGAACGATACAGGTTTTTAAGAAAATGCAAGATTCAAAGTTAGACGGAAAATATTTCAATTAACAAACGGGTATCTATTATTCGAAGTTTATATATAGATTACAAGTTTATCAGATTTTTACTTTAATTTTAGAGACATTATAAATCTATAACACAAAGACAATTGATTGAAGTTGTGCGTATCTACTGAAGACAAGAGTCAATCGATTAGCTCATTTGAAAGAAGTTAGGCCTGGATATCAAATCGTTTACTACAATTCTCATCATTTCATGACCTTTATATCTCTTGCTTCGCCAAAAAAGAAAAAAACTAATTTGAATCTATATTGTTTGTACATTCTCATTGGGTCAGTTCAAGTCCTGGGTATTATTTCATACTTGAACCTGACCTTGTTATAAATAAGAGGTTGACTTCCTTTTTTACGATTATTCATCTACAGATGATGCAGTGAATACATGGAGAAGAAAATGAATTATCGTAATACAAAAAAAAAAAAAGCATTTCTTTAATTTCTTCATGCATAATTATAACGTTTAATACCAACAATTGTGGTCTATTCCAAAGAGTTTACTTTTGATAGATTATTTTAGAATAATTCGAAAATTTAGATTTCAATTGGTTTTATGAAAAAAAAAATGATTTATTTCTATTTGTTTTATATATTTATTTAGTTTCAAAATTTTGTAAATAAA